TTCACAATTCTAACACTCATTATACGTACAACCTGATACAATAGCAAAGTCAGTGTTCAGTAAACACAATTTTAACACTCATTATACGTACAACCTGATACAATAGCAAAGTCAGTGATCATTAAACACAATTCTAACACTCATTATACGTACAACCTGATACAATAGCAAAGTCAGTGGTCAGTAAACACAATTCTAACACTCTTTATACGTACAACCTGATACAATAGTAAAGTCGGTGTTCAGTAAACACAATTCTTACACTCTTTATACGTACAACCTAATAAAATAGTAAAGTCAGTGTTCAGTAAACACAATTCTAGCACTCCTTATACGTACCACCTGATACAACAGTAAAGTCGGTGTTCACAATTCTAACACCCTTTATACGTAGCACCTGATACAATAACAAAGTCAGTGTTCAGTAAACACACTTCTAACACTCTTTATACGTACCACCTGATACAATAACAAAGTCAGTGTTCCGTAAACACAATTCTAACACTCTTTATACGTACCACCTGATGCAATAGTAAAGTCAGTGTTCAGTAAACACAATTCTAACACTGTTTATACGTAGCACCTGATACAGTAGTAAAGTCGGTGTTCAGTAAACACAATTCTAACACTGTTTATACATACCACCTGATACAATAGTAAAGTCGGTGTTCACAATTCTAACACTCTTTATACGTACAACCTGATACAATAGTAAAGTGATATTTAGAGTCAATCTTGATTAAGGTCGGAACTCCCCCACGATAAAACTCAGTGATGAAACGAACGACAGATTGAGCTCCATGTGTATTAAAACATTTTTATTGCCACTGGTTAGACAATCTCGATTAGGTGAGACGTTTCTCTAAACTAAAAGAATCACTGAAACTAGTCTAGAAAATAACTGGGCAAGTGTTGTCTATGTTATATTATTCCTAGACATTATGTTTGATTTCTACAAATGATAGTGAAAGGGTGAATAGGAATGCTGAAGATAATTTACATAACATTATACAATAAAGATGGAACAAAGTTCGTGCTGTTTAATTGCTGAATACTTTGAACGTAGTGAAACAGTCTCATGTACTGAAATATGATATGAGGGTAAGTTTCACGAACTATTAACCACAGTGATTAATCTTCCTAGAAATCTTTCATTGGTAGGACTGCACTTGTTAATTCCTATTCTTAGAAAATCATGAATAGAGCTTGCTTCCTGTTTACACAGTGTTTATAGTACAGTTTTGTTGTAAGTCATCTGCTTAAGAAACTATGAATTGTTGCTATTTCCATATTATATCCATTCATAAAATATTAAAAATCCCATATCACAATAGCTTCTTTTAACAACTGTTAATAAGGATTTTTACGTGAAAATCATATTTCGCACGAATGGCATTGTTTATAATTATGTTCATTTGAAAGAGTTTGGTCATAGTCTTGTAATTCATGACTAGTAACATTTCACATTTGCTTTCGAGCGTGACGGGGCGTGATCATTAATCGTGTACCAACTTGACGGGACGTTATCATGGATCGTGTACCAGCATGACGGGTCGTGATCATGAATCGTATACCAACTTGACGGGGCGTGATCATAAATCGTGTACCAACTTGACGGGGCGTTATCATGGATCGTGTGCCAGCATGACGGGTCGTGATCATGAATCGTATACCAACTTGACGGGGCGTGATCATGAATCGTGTACCAGCGTGACGGATCGTGATCACGAATCGTATACCAAACTTGACGGGGCGTGATCATAAATCGTGTACCAACTTGACGGGGCGTGATCATGAATCTTGTACCAAAATATCACGCTCCGCCCTTTTGATTTCTGGATGCGCTATAACAGTGACAGTCAAATTCTGTTATTGAACTAGAATAGTCCAAACGTAGATGGTGGTTGCTGTTAGACTATTAGATAGTAGCTTTCTCTTTTGCCTGTCAGTTCGCCATTATGGCCGGCTAACGCAGATAGTCCTCTTTGGTCGGATATCCGAAATAAACAGACAAATTTATCCTATTTATGATTTAATAAGGTTATGTTGTTTGAATAATACATAAAGTATAATTGTTCATGGAATTTTGGACTCGGGTAACAAACAGCTTTAGTGTATACATTGTCTGGTCACTTTACCTAATAACGGGTTGGGCAACCTTTAACCCGAACAACAGCCATTATAGAAACCTCACGGTGCTGAAAGGCGTCCTGAGGATTTTCCACATTTAGTCATTAATGTTTTACTCAATCCATGGAACAAGGTAAGCAGGGAATGTGTTGGCGAACGTGCATTACAAGTTCATCCCACAGACTCTCAATTGGAATGAGATCCAGTGATTGTGGTGACCATGGGAGGTGTCTGTAGTCTTAGTCGTATTCTTTAAACCATTCACGTACACTTTCTAACGATAGATGGAAACACTGTCGTCTTCAAAAATGGTGAAGGTTGAACCACATCACCTTTCACCAGTCCTTCCTAACCAAACGTCTACACCACCGAAGGCGTTTTTTTGTGTTTTTTTCTGTAACTATCTTGTCCACTGTGGCACATGTTTGATGTTCACACTACCATACCACCTTTATACACTGTAATAATTATTAGTTTAGCAATCAAGCTGTCTTGTCCACCGTGGCACATGTTAGATGTTCACACTATCATTCCTCCCTTAGACGCTGTAATATCTGTTAGTTTAACAATCAAACTGTCTTGTCCACTGTGGCACATGTTATATGCTAGTTTAACAATCAAGCTGTCTTGTCCACTGTGGCACATGTTAGATGTTCACATTACCATACCTCTTTTAGACGCTGTAATATCAGTTAGTTTAACAATCAAGCTGTCTTGTCCACTGTGGCACATGTTATATGCTAGTTTAATAATCAAGCTGTCTTGTTCACTGTGGCACATGTTAGATGTTCACACTACCATACCTCTTTTAGACGCTGCAATATCTTTTAGCTTGAGTGCAATCATGCCTGTCCCAGTCACTTATAGTGCTACAGATGATCAATATAACTTGTATCTATTGCTCAAGTCAGATCCGAGTTTTAAAGAGTACATAGCTTCTAATAAAGTGGCCAGCAATGTAAAAAGCACATAGTTAAAAATATAAAGTTTTAAACCTACTCTTAAAAAACAACTTTTTATTGTTTTTCCACAAATAACAACTCATAATGTCTAATAAAAGTTATTTAGTTACCGATAGTTACATGTATATTGTCTATTTTTACAGTTGTTATTTCAAGATGAAAACCTCGGAGTTTCCTACGAATACACAGTTCCAAATAAACATGCTATAAGAAAACCACAATATCTCTGGAAAATGAGCGATTGGTCGGTTTGTTCTGTCACCTGCGGTACTGGTAAGTCTGAATAGCCAATTTTTTCTGTCACCTGCGATACTGGTAAGTCTGAATGGTTGATTTAAAGCGAAGAAAATGAAAACGAATTTAGTAAAGAATAAATAAAATATAGTGATCATATCGTGTCAAATCTTTTAAAAATGATAGTGCAAGAAGTTATATTTGATAATTTTATGTGGGTAGTAACATTGGACAAGGAACGGGAAGGTCAACGTTCGCTACACTACAGTGGATCACTGATTTAATTACACTACAATGGATCACCGATTTAATTAAACTACAATGGATCACTGATTTAATTACACTACAATGGATCACTGATTTAATTACACTACAATGGATCACTGATCTAATTACACTACAATGGATCACCGATTTACTTACACTGCAGTGGATCACTGATTTAATTACACTACAATGGATCACTGCTTTAATTACACTACAATGGATCACTGATTTAATTACACTACAATGGATCACTGATTTAATTACACTACAGTGGATCACTGATTCAACTACACTACAATGAATCACTGATTAAACTACACTACAATGGATCACTGATTCAACTACACTACAGTGTATAACTGATTCAACTACACTACAGTGGATCACTGATTTAATTACACTACAATGGATCACTGATTCAACTACACTACAATGAATCACTGATTAAACTACACTACAATGGATCACTGATTCAACTACACTACAGTGTATAACTGATTCAACTACACTACAGTGGATCACTGATTCAATTACACTACAGTGGATCACTGATTCAATTCTTTCGGTTAAGCAAAAATCTTAACAATTTAATTGCATGCTGACATTTTGAATATTGGACAGTTAAGTTAATGTTAACGATTCAATTGATAATTTGATTAAACCTTTCCTTTATCCCAGTTCATGAAAATAGCATTTTTAATTCAAAAGAACAATTAGACTTGTGGCTGGTGGAGAGACTACAGTCATTTGTAAGGGAAAGTCCCCCCCCCCTCCCATGGCTCAGAGGCAAGTCTATAAGTTTACAACACTAAAAACAGGTTTCTTATACCCGTTTTGGGCATAGCACAGATTGTGTAACTGTGCATAAAAACAAACCAATAATCCAATGAAAAGACTTTGAGAGTATTAAAGAATGTAGAGCCAAATAACGAAACATTTACTAGAACGAAACAACACGTCTGTTTTAAAATTAGTTTTTCCGCCATTATTAAAATTTTGTTAGAACAAAAATTACGATTTCGGGTAACAGGGCTTAAGGTGAAGAACATACGAAATATCTTGTTCCCAATTCTCGAGAAAATTATATAATAATAATTATAGTAGACCATGTTTATATGATTTCCATGATTTTGTAAAAAAATATACCCAAGAATATATCTTTGAAGAAATTACTATAAAATGCAAAATATTCTTAACACCAATATTATTTTCGTTTTTGCTACAGAAATTGAATAGCGACAATAAATTTAATTTGTAGTCTTTGATCTCAGTTTATTTTTATAGACAACATTTTCTTGAATTACAATTATTCTAAAATGTCGTCAAGTATATGTAACTTATAATACAAGAAATGTTTGAAAATACCTCTTTCAAAAGTTAATTTAACTGTTACTCCTTCCGTTAAGAGTGACCACAAACAAATGTTTTGGTGTTCTCAATACATAGGGTTAATCTCAGTTTATATAGTATTATCATTATACCACGTCATTTGATTCAGAAGAATGTCCCGAGGATAACCTTATGGCTTAAGAACTTTGTCTCAGATTTTTCCATAGAATGAAATCCGTGTATCGTAATTGCTGAGCACTCTAGAAACAAAGGACACAACATTTTAAAAAAGAAAGCCTCAATGTTCACAAATGGAAGATAAAAATTCACCAGTTGAACCTTTAGAACAACAAGGGACACTGAAACAATACACCAACCGATTCTGGAGATATCCTCAAGTAAAGACTAATGTTACGAAAGACAACCTTCCAAAAGGCTATATGAATAAAGCCGAAAATAACAATCAATGATTTGAAGTTCACGAAAGCCAAAAGCTTACAAGCTACAAGCCACACCAAGGAAAAACCTGGAATCGCAGAAATCAAATTCCTGATCGACTGGCAGGACTGTAGATCGAAGATTCTCGCACCTTTATTACTAAAATAAGTCGTGCTTCACATTTTGTGGAGTTATAAAAATGGAGGTTAAATTCCACTATTTGCTCTAACAACAGCTGGCGGTGGGTGGTGTTGTCTAGCTGCCTTCCCTTTAGTCTATCGCTTCAAAACTAGGGACGGCTAGTCCAGATAGACTTCATATAGCTTTGTGTGAAATTTAACAAATGAACAAACATTCTCATTATAGCCATTACGCTTGATGTTCTTCGACACAGTTTCAACTGCTATGACCGCTTAAAAGTGAAGCCAGTGAAAGCTCTGTTGAAAGCTGTTATGATGTGTAACCTAACAATTAACCTCACCATCCTTTACAGAAGCTTATTACAAGGAAAATTACTGTGTCATACAGACTAGTATCTAATCACATCCAGTGGAATGAGTGAGATTGAAAGTCAAGGAAACTTATTTCTCAGGAAGGCATGGAACCTGAAGCATAATTAATTTAAAAGCAGTGTTACTAGCCACAATAACAATGTGTAAATCACCGGATTATTGCTAATTTTACAAAATCTATATATATATATTAATTAGATATTAACCTATTATTTAGGGAAAAAATATTGATAAATTCAGTTTTTTTTAATGGAATTATATAAAGTCTAAAAATATTCACAATAAAAACTTCAATGTAATGGTTTTAATCTTTCAAAGGCTCTTGATCTTAAAATAAGGTCTTTATCTATGAGATATTTTGCTAAATGCACTTAGTTTATACAATATCATACAATACTATTATTGATCTTCGCTCGAAGAGAATGGGAATGAGTAGAGTAAGGAATAAGTGAAAATACTGAAAATAATGTGTCAAATATTTTAAAGACTACAATGTGAGAAGTTATATTAGATAAAAAAAATGTAGGCAGTAACATTGGACGAGCAAATGACAGTATTGTACTAATTATGGAAATAGAGAGGAGAAAGAGTGTAAAAATGATGTTAAATATAATGGTAATGAAACCCCGTTATCGTGTGAAAATTAGTTTTACCAAAGTGCGGTCACGTCTTGATAGTTTAAACTGTGAGTCGTTGTCATTTGACTAATCTAAAAGTGTATAAAGCCTATAGGATTACAGGCTGCCACACTATGTCCAGAAGAAATAGTATTAATAGTTATAGACTTAAGTATCATGTGACAAAGCTATAAAACTCTGGATCTTCAATGATACTTCCCTTAAAAAGTCCATGATTTAATGGGAACTTTTAACAAACTGCAGCAAGATTCCATTATTTGGTAGGAACTGTTAAAAAGTGCAGAAAGATTTCATGGTTTAGTTGGAACTGTTAAACGACTGCAGCAAGATTCCATGATTTAGTAAGAACTGTTAAAATATTACAGCAAGATTCCTTGATTTAGTAGGGTTCCCACTAAGTCATGGAATTTTGCTGTAATTATAAAAAGTTCCCACTAAATCACGGAATTTTGATGCAGTTTGTTAAAGTTCCCACTAACTCATGGAATCTTGTTGCTATATTTTAACAGTTCTGGCTAAATCATGGAATCTTGCTGCAGTTGTTTAACAGTTCCTACTAAACCATGAAATCTTGCTGCATTTTTTTAACGATTCCTACTAGACATGGAATATTGTTGCAATGTTTTAACAGTTCCCACTAAACCATGAAATCTTTCTGCACTTTTTTAACAGTTCCTACCAAATAATGGAATCTAGCTGTAATATTTTAACAGGTTGTTAAAATATTGCAGCAAGATTCCATTATTTGGTAGGAACTGTTAAAAAAGTGCAGAAAGATTTCATGGTTTAGTTGGAACTGTTAAAACATTGCAACAATATTCCATGTCTAGTAGGAATCGTTAAAAAAATGCAGCAAGATTTCATGGTTTAGTAGGAACTGTTAAACAACTGCAGCAAGATTCCATGATTTAGCCAGAACTTTTAAAATATAGCAACAAGATTCCATGATTTATTAAGAACTGTTAAAATATTACAGCAAGATTCCATGATTTAGTAGAAACTGTTAAAATATTACAGCAATATTCCATGATTTAGTAGGAACTGTTAAATATTACAGCTACATTCCATGATTTAGTAGGAAGTGTTAAAATATTACAGCAAGATTCCATGATTTAGTAGGAACTGTTAAAATATTACAGCAAGATTCCATGATTTAGTATGAACTGTTAAAATATTACAGCTTGATTCCATGATTTAGTAGTATCTGATAAAATATTAAAGCAAGATTCCATGATTTAGTAGGAGCTGTTAAAATATTACAGCAAGATTCAATGACTTAGTGGGAACTGTTAAAATATTACAGCTTGATTCCATGATTTAGTAGTATCTGATAAAATATTACAGCAAGATTCCATGATTTAGTAGGAACTGTTAAAATATTACAGCAAGATTCAATGACTTAGTGGGAACTGTTAACAAATTGCAGCAGGATTCCATGAACTGTATACAAGACTCTGAAGAGAGGGCATAAAGCTTGCACCATAACAATAGAGGTGGTCGAAGCTGTAAATCAAAACTTTTCAAAAATAATGTTAAGTATTTCATGGTATGTTCCTTAGAAGATAGAGGATGGTCAAGTACAAATGTTGCCAATAGCCTTACTGTGGATGTCTCCTCCAGAACAGCATTATACCATTAGCACGAAGTGATATAAATGGACATGTGGCTACTCAAAAACAGCTGCCGAGAAGAATTAATCAAAGCAAGCACAAATATGGCCATGACATCATATCTAATTGAATGAGGAAAGCTGGAGACACGTGTCTTTTAAAAACGAATCCAGGTTTGAATTGTGTGGTGTAATATAGGACATTTCAAACAATATTCCACGATCACTGATTGAAAATCTCTCCAATATCATGAACATAAAATGTAACGCTCTATGTAAAGAAAAGGCTTCACATACAAAGTATGCCCTGTACAGTTTAATTGTTTTTTTCTGGTATATTTATTGTTAATGTTTTTTTACCATTCCTTTGTTCACCATCTAGCTGCCACCACTCGTTTACCATTTCTGAGATGGTGAACTTAGGAATGGTAAACGAGTGGTGGCAGCTAGATGGTGAACTTAGGAATGGTAAACGAGTGGTGGCAGCTAGGTGGTGAAAAGCTGCCACCACTCGTTTACCATTACTAAGTTCAACATCTAGCTGCCACCAGTTTACCATTCGTTTGTTCACCATCTAGCTGCCACCACTTGTTTACCATTTCTTTGTTCACCATCTAGCTGCCACCACGTGTTTACCATTTCTTCGTTCACCATCTAGCTGCCACCCCACGTTCTTTTATGACTCCTATATATTTATCAGCTTTATATTTTCATAATTACTTCTATTCCTACATATATTATGTATTTATTATCCTTATATTTTCATAATTATTTTCCATTCCTACAAAATATACTATATATTTATCAGATGTATATTTTCATAATTATTTCCATTCCTACATGTACTATATATCTATCAGCTTTTTATTTTCATAATTATTTCCACTCCTACATATACCGCAAACAATTTTTTTATTGTTTCTTCTAATTTTTACAGTTATTTGAAATTATTTTCTCTTTCGGGAAACCGGTTTCGAAGTTTTCACCACTCTTCAGCTCTAAATCTATCCACCTCGTACAATGATATCATAACTATATATACACATGTACGTTCAACCTGTTAATAAAGAGCCCAAGCTTTCAACTGACTGAAATATACTGAGATATCCTGAATTACTGTTCGCAATTCGTTATTTTTTCACATCACAATGTTCAACTGTAGCTAGCTGTTCGTAAAAAATAGATATAAATGTTGTGAGTATTCAATGAAACTAATGTTCCAACCTTTTGATCATTCTTTGAAGATGTCTAGTTTCGTTGGTCGTTATGATAACGCAGTTGATCTAAGGTACTTTTCTTTCTGTATCCCAGGAAAGCAGATTTCTGAAGCTTTTTGCGCAGAGAAAGCATCGGGAAAGGTTGAAGATAAATTCTGTAACACTACCGCTAAGCCTCTAGATAAGATGAGAGCCTGCAACACCCACGATTGTCCTCCGAGGTAAATTTCATTCAATCCTGTAAATTTGGTAATTTTGATAAATCTTTTAAAAAATAGTTCTGTGTAAGAATAAAGATGTAGTTGTTTATCGCCTGTTTCAGTGTCACCAGTATCGAATCTGCTTCAGAAATTCAACAATAAAGCACATCATTTTCCAGATGCCAATATATGGATCACCAACCAGCATCGTTCTCTTTTTATTCGTTAGATTTGAAACTTTATAATATAAACTCGTAAAATATTTATTCGATCTTAACAGCTAATGTTAATTTGAATTTTGGAATAATGTGATTTATCGAAAGTTATCCAGAAAGTTTTTGAAAGAGGTTTACTAGTATCTAAATTCTTATATTTTAACTAGCATTAAGACTAACGTCAAACATATTTTATAACTGAGTGGAGGATGTTGTATAGGTTTCGTATTTTTTAATACGGAATTATATACGATTTTCGTAATATTTTTGAATCCAGGACAAATAGACGCAAAATTTTTATAATATATTTGGATCCAGGACAACTAAACGCACGATTTTCATAATATTTCTGAATCCAAGTCAACTAGACGCACGATTT